TGACTGAAGTGTCTCGCCTTCAGTTTCCTCATCTGAAAGATGGGAACAATAGCAATCACCCAGGGAAATGTATACACGAGACTGACCGTTAGCTGTTAAAAAGCTGTTTAATGAGCCGTAAGCGCACAGTTAATACGCCATCACTGCCATCACCACCAACGGTAATTACAGCCCAACTTAAAACACAGAGGCTCAGAAAGCTTATGTAACCTGTCCAAGGTCATTTGCTAATAAGTAACGAAGCATAGCGATGTAATCATTAAGGTTTGTGGGTTTTGAAAACCATAGAGTGACTCACATATGATGCCCTCTGTAGCCCTTTGGGATTACAGATACATTCTCTGCAGGCGAGTATTGTGGTCTGCACAGCTGGGCGGGCACAGAGTAAAAATTCAACAAACATGCGGGCTGAACCCAAGAGGGCTGTGGTGGGCAGGACCTGGCAGTGCTGACGTGAGGTTTCCTGCCACCCCCAGACAGGCAGTGGGCGACCCTACTGGGGGTGGAGTCAGGAAGAAGGGGGAGGTCCACAGGCTTGATAACCTGCCCACTTCCTCTGCCACCCAGCCACATCAAAACAGTTTAAACTGTTTCACTCATCTCCATGGCAACTGGCTCCCTAAGCCTCCCTGGGTGGAGGGCCCAGCTCCTCAGATTCCCAGTCATCTTCTCCTTGTGATCTTGCAGGACCCGTCTATTAAACTAACACTGCCCCACACCTATCGCCCCCGGCAATGTGAAATCCATGCAGGCCAGCATCAACCCTCCCAAACTGCTCTGAGAGGCAGGTGTTATTACACTTCCACTTCACAGATGAGGAAACTGAGGCTCCCTGAAGTTACATGTCTTGCCAAAGGCCCCACAGCTCTAGGATTGAAACCTCGATGGTCTGGTGATCAGCTTTAGCCTGTTCTCCAAGAGCCCCTTGCCTGGCCTCCACTCTGGCCCCTTCCCCACTTTTGGCCATTGCCTCCCTCAGCTGGGAGGATTGTGGGCAGGGGCACCCAACAATAAGGCCAAGATACCACCACTTGCCTTTACAAAAATCACACTAAAGCCCACTAACAGGTCATGTCAAAGTAGGTAATTTGGTTTAGTTTACCATATGCTCTTGATAAGGGCTCAGGTTCTGTGAAATTAGAGGTTAACTTGTGGGTGAGAAGAGTTCAAGTAATATTTGTTTGGTAGAAAAGGTAGCTCCAAAGGTCATGGTCTTATTCCCTTATATGATATGAACTAATTTTGTATTTAATTTTACAATCTTATTCTAACTTACTGGAGAAACTTTTATCAGTTTCTCATACCCCTTTGAAAGCTGCTCCACGATCTTGCTGGTTCCCTCAGTGATGAGTTGAATATGTCTGTGACACAGCTCACTCTGCATGTGTGTGGGGTTTTTCAAGGGTTTGAGAATGACTCTCTGACAGGAGAAAAAGCAAATGGTTTCCTATTTCAGTTCTGCTTTCCCTGGAAGAGGAGAAGTTCCTAGCACAGGCAGCCCGGCGTGAGCGCTCCTCTCCCGGCACTTGCCTTCTCCTCAGTCACCAGAGTATCTGAGGCCTCTCAGGGTCCCAGAGACCATGTGGAGGGCAAGGCCCTTGGCAGTGAGTGACCACGGATCCAAGGGTCCTCCCTGTTCTGAGTCCAGGGACCCTCATTCCATCTCCATCTGCAATGGCTGCTCTGCTGGATGGCTCTTGTCCTCCGGGCTTGGAACCCCACTGTCCCAGAGTCTGGGCCTCACCACAGTCCGCCCCCCTCCACTCCACATCTGCTTGCTGGGCTGCCCAAAACAGTTCCTGCACAGCTGCCCACGAAAATATCTCAAGGCATAGCATGCATTCAGGGGAACAGAGCCAGCTGGTTCTACTTGAAATTGGGAAGCGGTCTCCCCGCACGCAGGTGACAGCCCTGCCCCAACCCAACATCTCCCTTACCCATTTCAAAGTCAGAAAGAATCATTTAGAATCTTGCTGTGGATCCAAGGCCCTGCCAAGGCATTTGCATTTTAAATCCTTTCTGTCTAAATTGCAAAAGAGATGAAAAGCTTTGCAAGCTTGCTCAAGGAATTCTGATCACCAGCAAGAAGCCCAGAAGCAATCTAGGTCTGTTAGTTTTGGGGCACAGTTGGGAGGCAGGAAATGAAAGAAATTACCCTTAAACTGGTTTGTTCATTTAGAATGCCTTGGGAAGTTAGGTTGGCAGATTGTCTATTCATCTTACATCCAAGTACCTTCCCTAATCCAACACCTTCTCCTCCGGCCTTCCTGTTTTCTTAATTCTTCCGCCCAAATCTCTACCAGGAGATAAGGTCCCACTAACAGGTAGACCTTGCAGTTGGCCAATCCTATCCAGTGTCTGCTCTGCTCCTTTGTAACACCAGACAGCTGACTGACTGGCACACAGATTAGCTGATTGGTTGGGGGAAGACAGATCAGCTGATTGGGCAAAAAGTGATGAGCCCCTCCAAAGAAATTTACACACAAAGCTTCAGTCCTGAGATTTCTACGGCCCTTAAGTTGTTAGGGTATAAGATTTGGTATTTATGTCTTGCTGTGTTTAATGTGTACAATGAGAATTAAATGTTATGAGTACTAAATAGCATATATAGATTTAAAAGAAAAAAACAAAAATGGGCTTATAATATACATAGTATTTTAGGGCCTGCTTTTTTACTCAAGCTCTCAACATCTTTTGACCTCAGTAACTCTATTTCTGCCATATCATTTTTAATGATTGAGGAGCATTCCACCAATGACTTTGTTACAATGTACACAACTACCTGCAATTTTTAGATTTTTGGAATTGGTTGACTATTAGGAAGAATGCATCAATGAATACCCTCGTAGCTAAAGCTCTGCACATCCAAAATTATTCATCAGGACACATTTCTAGAAATGCAGTTTCTGAGTGAAAGGACACTCTTTTTAGTGCTTTAGAAAACACAGCCCCTCTTTTCCTCACCAACAGTGAAAGTTTTGTTCTTTTTTATTGTTGCCAATTTGATAGTGGAAAAGGTGTCTCACTGATCATTTTTTCATTTTCTTTATTGCTAATGAGGGTGAATATTTGGGGGGATGTCAGTCATCCATTTAGGTTCTTTTTGATGTGCTTGAATAGTATCCTCTATTTACATTTCTACTGGAGTGTTTGCCTATTTTTTCAGTTGACTCAAAAGAACTCCTCATGGGTTTGATATATCAATTTTTGTTGTAAATATTTCCCTTAGTTTGTCACTAACCATTCACTTATACTGCGTTTTGTTACACAGAATCTTTACATTTTATATTCTCAAATCTGTTGGCCTTTTCTTTTATAATTTTTGTCTTGGAAGGACATGTTGGGCATCTCTTCTCCACTCTAGGTACATGTAGCCTATTTTTCTTCTTTTAATTTCATGGTCTTATTTTCTATACTTCAACCATTAATTCATCTAGAAGTTGTTTTGTTTGAGATAGAACTCTTAATTTTCTTTTTTGAGGTAGAATTCTAACTCATTTTTTAAATGGTCTGTCAATTGTCCTGATACCATTTATTAAATCACCAATCTGCTTTCATCAACGATTTGAGAATGCCACTTTGTTATATAATACATTTCTACATATTTAGCATGTTTCTAGCCATTTTATATTGTTCCACTCATTTATTTTTATACCAACAGTGTATTATTTTAATAACTATAGCCTAATAGTACATTCAAAGACCTAGTTAGGGAAACATCCTATTTTTACTCTTGAAGAATAGGTAAGTAAATACATAATAATTTCATAAATACATGCAGCTGTTGTGCATTTACTTTTTCAGATAGACTTTGTTAAATTTTAAAAGCTATTGTTGGTATTTTGATCAAGGCTACATTTAATTCCATAATACCTAGTATCATTATAATACTAATTCAATCTAGCAATGTGTCTCTTAAATTATTTATCCTTCAGTTAAGTTTGTTTTTCCTATGTATGTTCACATTTCTTTTATGTTTTTAGTTACTATCATAAACGTATTTTTTTTTCATTATGTTTTCTTACTGTTTAATGCTGTTAAACGGGAAAGCTATTAGACACCTGTTTATTAGTTCTGATAGTTCTTGGGGTGATTCTTTTAGTTTTGAGAGATAAGCAATTGTTTAATTTCCATACAATGAAAATTTCATCTTTCCTGGAAGAGGAAATATTCTCTTTTTCTGTCTTTTTGCATAGGCAAAATAGCTCTAAGCACAGAGGAAGCTTATTGACTTAAATGGAAATACCTCTAATATTTCACTGTGGGTTGTTCCCTTACTAAGAATGCTTCCATGTTTTAATGGTTTCCATATAGTAGAGGAGTTTTGAATATGAGGAATGAACATTGAATTTTTATCAACTGTTTTAGAGGCATCTGTCAAGAAGTTTATGTAACTTTATTCCTCTGAGCTACTCATGTGATGAATTACTCTAATATTGGCCACCTCTCAGTAAATCACAACTGATTATGTTTTCTCTTGCTCCACAATAGTTTTCTTGAACTTCATTTTCAGGTCTATTATAGCACCTGCAAGTTTTCAATTCCTACTTTTCAGACCCCTCACATGAAGATGGGCCAGGCCCATCATCATGTGTCACGGTGCTCACTAACCCAACCAGTAGCAGCCACCTTCCCTGGCCACAGACTAAGAGAGCAAACAAGGATCTCTTGTCAGTATTGTGTCTGACCTGACCTGGGAGGCCCTTGGCTAACCAGAGCACAGGTACAGACCATAGCGGGGGGTCTCCTTGCCCTGAATCCCTGCTCGGCTTTCTCTAAAAATCCCTCCTTGATTTACCTCCTACGTTCACTGTTTTCAGCCATCTGATGCAGCTATGAGCCATGAAAAGGAGATTCCAAGGTTTTGAAGCAGGCCACAGGCAGAGATGACTGCAGGATGCGAGGGGAGGAGAGTCACAGCCCAGCAACAGTCTCAGGAGACCTGGAAACCTCTTAACCACATGATCTCTGCCCCACATGCCTGCCGCTTCAACACTTACCTGGGGCCTTGAGTTCAGCATCAATGAAGGTGAGTAGTTCCTGGCAGATGCTGCAGTAAGGAATAGGCCAGGTCAGGAAGTGGTGGTAGGTTCTGGCTGCTTTCAGAAGGAGATCTGAGTCTGGTGGGAAGTGTGGTGTCTGGGATGGAGAGGGAGCAGCAAGCAGAGAGGTCTGGGTGAGAGAAAGTTCACTGATATTCCAGAACAGACCCTGATCCTTTTCTGGAATGTTCCACAAAGGGCACACAATTCCTGACAGCACTATGCCCAAGGACATGGTCAGAAAGAACAGGAAGTTGTCCCCAGGGAGTGAGTTACAGATGAGCCAGATGGCAACCAGGGGTGTCCTACTATAAGGGCCTCATTTTTACCAAACAACACAATTTACCCAATACATAAGAGCGCCTCTGAAGAGCTTTCACCTTGGAGGTCATCCTAAATGGTGCCCCTGCTGCCTTCTCTCTGGGGAATGGTCTTGAATGCCTAAACCATCTTTATTTATGTATCTTCACTGGAGGCACAAAAGTGTATTCTTTGAAGTAGACAGACTCAGTGTACATGTAGTCATTTAGTGCCACCAGTCTGTGGCATACAGGATGGTCACATTGGGTATAACTGATCATTGGGGTACAAATGAGGTGGATGTAACACTCTCAGCAGCATCTGTTTTCTGGCTTGTGAACAGGCTGTGATGGAACAGGCTTGTGAATGGGCAGCTGCTTCAGGGGAGCCCAGATACGGCACAGTGCACAATGGAATCCCCACACGGCACCGCAGGTGCTCGTGATGGCTGCTCTGAAGGCGCCAGGGCTGACACCTGTGTCAAGCCTCACTGCTCGACAGTTTCTCTCTCCACATGAACCTCCAAAGGTGAGGGGTATGCCCCGCATGGAGGTCGCCCTTCCCCCTCCTCCCCGCACTCCTTGCCTGGCCACCCTGGAACTTACACAGAGGACAGTGGAGTAGAAGAGCAGGGCCAGGGGGGCAAGAAGGTCATAGGTGCCCTCTTCTTGGACCTGTGAAGAGGACAGGATGGGGGGGGGGTTGAGGCTCATTCACAGGATTCAGAGCAGAGCAGTGCTTTCTTATTCTATTCTATTCTTTTCTTTCTTTTTGTAAGTGGAAAGTAATGTATCCACAAGAAAAAAATTTGGAAAACAGAAATTAAAAAAAAAAAAACAACTCACAATATCCCCCTTCCAAACTCAACCACAGCTAACATTTCAGTGGCCTTCTCTTTACACCGTTTTTCTCTGTGTATTTTCCTCTAACAAGTTCTGATCATAGTGTGTATGTTTTTACTCTTAATGGCTTTTATATATAATATAAATTAATTTCTGTTTTGCTACATCCTCTCTAAGGCCACCTTTTTCCCCCTCAGCCCAGGCTAGCATTAAACACACTCCTCTTCTTAGTTACAAAAACCTGTTTATTGATCTGTTAGAGGAAGTCTAGGTATACCTTTCCAATCAGCTTTATTTTTCATGTCTTTGTTTTTAAGGATCTTTTTGAGGAAAGGAATTCAGTGGATCTTCCTCCCTCTTTTCTGGTCAATACCTTGACTTACAAGCTATGTCTCTCTTAAGCAGCAGCTTAAACTCAGGGCCCTGGCTCATGAATCCTCTTATTCTTATTAAAAGGACCACATCCTTTCCTAGAAACCTACAATCCACAAGCAACTGCAAAAACAGGAAACTCATGGGTTCCCAGCGCCTTTGCCAATCCCTGTGGTCCAGGCACCCCAGAACTGGGGGGACCTTTCCCTTGACTCTTCTATCCCTGGCCAGTCCTCACCTCTCGGGTTTTCTGCAGGATCTGTTCCAGGAGGATAAGGAAGTGGCCCGGGTCCCTGCTGACCAGCTCCTGTAGGCTCCAGCAGTTCAGACACAGCCCAGCTGGACAGGGAGGGAGAAGCAAGTGGTCAGTTTGAGGAGGGAGATGCATGCGAATCCCTGGGGCTACACTGGGGCATTTCCTTCCAAAGTAAGAGGCTCAGAAAATTCTGGATCAATATTCAACCCTATTGTGCCCCACCAAGACATAAAGACAAGTTTCTTATTCCTGCATATACTACCTACACAGGAGGCTCCAGAGACACAGAGACGGGCTGGGGTGCCCTGTAGAGGCATGTGCACCAGCCATGCTTCTGCTCCCCTTGCCTCTGGAGTGCAACCATTCTCCCACGATCTCCCCATCCTGGTATCCTACAGCAGGACCTCTGAGACCCAGGGAGGGAGGGCAGAGGCAGACACTGCCAGAAGGATAAGGTGAGGCCCCACGGTGTGCTTCCCCCAGGATGCAGGACTGAGTCTATGACCGTTACGGGGCTTCCCGGGATTGCCTGGCCGTGGAGCCAGGAAGGGGAAGCTCCCTTCATTTATATTTTGAAAGCTACAGAGAGCACATTGTCACTCTGTAACTTCCCCAGACTTTCTTACTTTGTCAATTTCTGTTTCCCTGCAGTCATCAAGGGTAAACCCCTAAAAATTAACAGGGTGGTTCTAGAGGCATGAGTGCACGTGTGTGTACAGTGAGAGCAGCAGGGTGGGAATGGATTGCCATGAGTTCCACACAACCTAAGCTCTAGGACCCTCAGGTGCATGGGCTCCGTCCAAGGTTGTGGACCTAAGCAGTGTGTTCACGTGGTCACAGGCTTTTATAAAATTTGCAGAAGTCAGACATTTTTGTATTCTGTTATTTAATTTTTTCCCCCTCAATTCTACATGCTTAAGCTCCATCAAAGCCTAGGTAGGAGGCAAGGAGGAAGAAAACTATCATTCCTGATCACCTACTGTGTGACAGTAAGGTACTGGGCCTTGCAGACATTACCTGCATTAAGACTCCCATCCTCCCCACATGAAGTAGTCCACTCTATTATTATTCTTATTTTATGGGGTCCTGAGATGTTAAGTGACTTACACAAGGTTAGACAGTCAGTGAGACAGAGTTTTAATCCAGATCTGTTTGATTCCAAAGGCCAAGGAAAGCTCTAGGGGAGGTGACACTTGAGCTGAGACCTGGATGAGAAACCAGCTACATGCAGTTCTGATGGAAGAACCCCAGGCAGCATGTGCAAAGGTCCCGAGGTATGAGGGAACCAGATGCTCAAGGGGCAGTGGATATCTCTCTTGTGGGTAGTTAGGGAGGCAAATGAGACAAGGGATGTGAAAAATCTTTATAGCATCAGGAATTGTTATAACTAGGCACCAATACTGCCCCAGACTGCAGATACCATTATTTCTCAGTCCTGGAGATCATGAAACATGGAGGCCTTCTGCTCCCTGAAGCAGTGCTGAGTCTCCCTTGTTCTGCAGTGAAGAGGAAGATGGGGCTGTGGAAGGAACCAAGTAAACAGAATTCTGGAAGAGCTGTCCATGAATTCCCAGCTGCTCTTTCAGTATCAGAAGTTGTGGTATTTCTAAGAGGGTTCAATACCTTCTTTGCATATGCTAAGGAAGCAAGATACAGCCCTGAAGAGGAGGAGGAAGATATGGGAGACAGGAGGAACTGCCATATACTGAGGGCTACTCCCTGTCAGGTGCTATGCCAAGCACCAGTCCAGGTGAGGTCCAGGGGCTTGCTCAAGTCACACAGAGTTGGAAGCAGAATTTGTCAGCTTCCATAACTGGCCCAGTGCTCAGTGTGGCCCCTGAGAATTCCTTGGGCCCTAAGAATGCCTCCCCACTCCCTCTGGCCTACCTGACCAGGAGGTGGAGCAGCGGCTGAGGCTGAGCCCATGCAAGCAGCGCTCCAGGGCATGCTGGATGCGGTCCTCCGTGCACGTCGTGGCCCCTGGCTGCATCCTGAGTCATCGCCTGCACAGAAGACAGACATGGGTCAGCCTGCAGAGCCCAGGCTCAGGGAGCAAGTGGTCCGGCACAGCAGATGGCAACATCAGTGGGCACTCACAGCACAGTGTGATCGTGCCTGCTACGGATGAGGGTGGAACAGCTTATAGCTATCTCCAGGGCTGAAGTGGTTCCTGGAGGGTCTGCTCAGAGGGGCAGGATGGAGCACTCCTGCAGCCCAGCAGCACAGAGCTGTAGGAAGAGAGGGGTCAGGGGTGGGAGCTGAGAGGTGGACAGGGGCCTGCCTGGCCCACCAGGCAGTGGCCAGTGTCTCCACGAGCCCATGAGTGACCAGGGAGCAGCCGGAACTCATGGTCTGGGCATGGAAGACCCTGAGGGAAAAGCCAGAATCACCTGGGGGCTTTTTCTGAGTTTCCGACATCCTCCACCCAGTAGGGACAGGCAGGAAGCCTATTCCTGATGAGAAGGCAGCAGAGAGCTCTGTCGGGGTGCTGGGTGCTCCAGTGCTGAGGCCTGGCTGGGGCTGCCTTCACCCGCCCCACTGCCACACCCTCTGCTTGGGTGCCCAGGCCACAGGCACCTCTTTCTGCCCTTACCTCCACTTTTGACAGTTTTCTTTGCTTTCTCTGAGGCTTGGCAGTGTTACCAATTATCCAAAAACCTCACATGGCCCCGCCAACCCTTGTCCTACTGAGGAGAGACCAGGGGTGCTCAGCTCAGGCTGGAGAGGATTTAAGAACAGGTTTAGCATTGGATGAGAAACTGAGAAGTGCCAAATTCTGAGAGCCTCCAGCAGGGCCAGCCCAGCTTCTGAGTCCCCTGTGAGGGCTCCTGGCTCCCTCGGACAGCCACAGCAGGCGGGTCAGCACAGTGAACAGCCGGGCCTCTGGCATGGACAGACTTGCACTCAGATCTCAACTCTGACATTTGCTAGCCATGCGACTTTGGCACACATTTTAAAATTTTTATGGACTTTAGTTTAGTATCTGTAAATTGGGGATGACATGGTACTAACCCCCTAGGGCTGTTGGGAAGATTAAGTACCACCGTGGACATGCCGAAAGTTAGCTTTCAAGACCTGAACGCTAGCATGCTACAGTCTTTGCCACCATCAACTTCTCCCTCGGGAACTTCACTGCAGTCACCCCTTCCAGGCAGACCCTGTTGCTGGCCAGTCAGGCCTGATCATAGAGGGAAGCCAAGGAAGCCATGGTCCAGCTCTGTAGGGCTGGGGATGAACCAGGAAACCACAAGCAGAAGCACAAAGCTCAGAGCTGAGCTATGCAAATGACATGCAAACAGCTATGAAATTCTTACACCCAGCTGTGTGACTGAAGCACTCAGTTCACAGAGGTCCCACAGAGGCAAATCCCCTTCTTCTTCAGCCTGGGACAATCCATGCCCAGAGAAACATAAGCCCTCTGTGAGCCATCCAGCATCACTTCAATTTGTGGCACAAAGCTGGGATGGTGCAGGCGTAGGCTCACAAACAACAGCAGGCATGCATACACTCCTTCGTATATTTACTGACCACCTACTATGAGTCATGCATCAGGGGCACAGCAGTGAATGAAACAGGCATGTTCGTTGGAGGGAGATACAGATATTAAACAATTTAACAAACAAAGAGTTCATTGCAGAAGGTGATATATACCATGAAGAAAGTGACAGTGTGGGCCAGGGGGCTGATTGGAGAGGCCACTTTAAGTCATTGGGAAACCTCTCAGAAGGGGCATTTAAGCTGGATGAGGAAGCCAGGAGAGAAGGGAAGGGAAGAACATTCCAGAAAGAGGAGACAGCATGTGGAAAGGTCTGTGCACAGGAATGAGCCTACCAAGGACTAAGACCTTGGAGCAGAGGCCCATAGCCCAGGACACAGGCCGGGCTTCCCGGACCTATGCCTTCTGGCTGTCAAGGTGGTAGACTGAGTTCAGAGAAACTTTTGCTGGAGATTCAGGACCATGGATGCTAGATGTTTCTGTTAGTGGCATCTGGATGTCCAAAGATGGCTTTGGGCATTTCCAGGGCAACATTCCCAGTTGCCTTTGGGCCTACTGTCTGTCTGCTGACTCCTCCGTGGGTGTTCACAGAGTGAGCCCACTGACCCCGAGCCAGAGCAGGCAGATTTCACCTGGGTGTGCCAGGGCCTGATATGGGTGTCTCTGGAATGAACACTTATGCTAAGGCCTCACCCTTCTGCCTTCAGCATCAGCTAAAATACAAGACCTTCTCAAGCTGGGTCCCATTCAGGTGCTGAACTACCAGTGCCTGCTGGAGGAGCTGGGACACCATGCTCATTGAAGGGGTGAGTTTTGGGCATGAATGGCTGGCCCAGGTGTCATCAATGAACCCTCTGTCCCCACAGGCTGACTTTTCCCCTTGAGCCCCAGAGCGGGTTCTTGGGGGGGAGCTCAGAAGTCAGCCGCCACAAGCCCGTCATTTGACAGAAGGGAAACTGAGACCCAGAGAGGATGAGGGACAGCCTGGGGATGGGGGCCAAGCTGGGAGAATCAACACCAGTATAAATAGCCATGGGTATAAAGCAGGACTTCTGTCTTCCCAAATTGTGGCTGAGGCACAATGCAGACAAAAGGTGCTCAGTCACCTACATGGATTACATGCTAGAATCCTCAGTCACAGTGAGCTGTCAGGGAAGGGGGCCAGCAGCCACCTGGAGGGCTTGCTGGGAGGTGTCCGTCCAAAAGAGCACAGGTGTCTGCCTGCCCCCATCAGCACAGGAAGACTGGGAAGAGAGGAGGGATGCCAACCATTCTGAAGGGCTCTCCTTTGTCCCCCAAAGCCAAGGGCAGGGAGGCGTTCAGAGACTCCCTCATTCGGATGGGATGCCTGCCAGGTGGGGACGCTGCCATTATGTTTTCAGTTCACTCTGCTCAACCAGCACACTTGCTTCTGTGCTACTGTGAGCCATGGCCCGCGATGGAGGTGGAAGGGGCTGCTGCAGGCCCACTGCTGGGGGAGGGGAAGACATGAGGTCCTTGTGTTGGGGGTGGTTATTAGCAAGCAAAGCTGGACTTGAGCTGTTGCACTGATACTTGACCCTGCAGGGTTCCTTAACAGCAAGAGGCTGAAGGCTGACCACCTTTGGGAGAAGCCAGAGGGAGTGGGATAAAGCTGGAGGGAAGTGCTGGACAACCTGTGGTACAGAGAAGTTAAACAACTTGCCTAAGGTCACACATAAAGCCAGAATATGAAGAGACTGGCTTATACCACAGTACACTGCTTCTAGGAACGGTCAGATGCAGTTCCTGGAAGACAAATGAAAACAACTCATGTTTCTACCCCAATAAGCTAAGACTCGATTAACTGTAATGTGATCTTGCTTTAAGAGACCAAGACTCTCAGCTGCTGGGAACCTTGGGCCCACCATGTCCATCTACACGAGCTGCCCACCCTCTGGAGGCAAGGTCTGGACTCACAGAAGCAGTGCTCTCGGCTGCACGGGGCAATGACCATGGTGCTCCTGGGGCCCAGGCATCCTCTAGCCTGGAGCAAGGGCTGAATCATGTGAACTGCATTTAAAGACCTGTCAGCCTGGTCCCTGCTTCATGGACAATTCGCTTGTGTCACGAGGCAGGAATGAGTCACCCTGCCCTATTGTGTCCCACTGTAACCGATGCAAACACGAGATACAAATTCTCAGTGCCACTTCTGCCACATGCCCACCCACAGGGGTCATCAGAACACAGTGTCAGGCGGCTGTGAGCAGCCTTCATGGAGGCTAAGTGTGCTCCCCAGCACCCCCTCCAAAGCCTGCTGGCTTCTTCCCATCTTGGGCCACGGTGACTTTCCCATCTTGGTCTCAGTGTCCCTAGCTGCTCACTGGAGACAATCAAGGCCTCCGTGGACTGGCCAGATATCCCTAGGGCCCTGGGTACAGGTCCTGCTGGGACAGCCTCCCTGGCATCCAGAGGCCCACTAGAGCTTGCTCCCAGGGCTTTTGAGAGGGAGGACTTGCCCAAGGCCCTGGAGCCCAGAGCCGCAGGAGGCGGGAGCTGGTGAGGGCTCCTCAGCTGAGCTGCCTTGGGGGTTAACCCAGCACACAGAGGCTCACCACCTGGCCCTTTGGCACACTCATTTCCGTCTGATGAGTCAATCATCAGCCGTTTCTTGTGACTTGTCAGCAGAACCCCAGTGGCTCTGGGGCAGGGATAAAGGGAGAAGGTGGCGCACCCTCCCTCCTCAAGGATGATGCCTTTTTCCAAAGGCTTGGCTGGTAAGGCCTGCTGCATCCTGCGCCCCCTTCCCCGCCACCGCCCACCCCTTCCTGGACGCCCTGGCATCTTGCTAAGAGGAGCTCCTATTGTGAAATTCCAGCTGCTGCCAGAAATGGGAATGCCCCCACTTCCAGTGGTGGGGGAGTGTTGAAACATTCAACAAGGCCTGTCCCCACCTCCAAGTTCCTCTTCAGAGCCAGTAAGGATGAGTCCTTACTAGGGACCCTGAGCAGGACAGTGAGGCCGAGAGCTGGGGGCAGAGGACTTCAGGGCACAGAGGAAGACTTCATGTGTTGACATGCCCTCATGATGCAACACAGGGGCCATCTTCCCTACTATGTAAGACCAGTCAAAGGTTGGCCTGGGTCCAAACTCTGGAGGTGGCCCCACGTGGGGCAGGGGGGAGGGCTTCTTTGCTTGAATAGGTTTCCCAAATGGGGTGGAACAGCAGAACTGGAGGGCCCACATCTCAGAGGGAAAAGAGCATGGACCCCCGGGCTCTGGTGGGCACCGCACCCTTCCTCCCTGGTGTTGTGGGGCAGTCCAGGCTCACGCTTTGCAGCTGTGGAACTAAGAGCGCTACCAAGGCATGCGGCCCTGCACTGACCCTGTCCACCCCTCCCTCTCCCCCTTCCTAGTGTCTCCTGTGGTTCGGCCTCCCTTCCCTGGCCCCACTCTCCTTCTCGTTAAAGCTTAAGGCAGAATCTCTTCTGATGCCTAATTTTAAAAATTCTCACTTTTAATATAGGAAGGAGTCACCAGAAACTAAAG